GCCACAGCCATGGTCAGAGGTATGTGCAATAAAAAAAACATTGAGTATCTATCATGGAAAATCTACTACATCCACAAACAGGATTTTTACAAGAATGCTAGATGATGCTAATAGACTTTGTTCACAAATGGCCTCCCACTGCAGATCTCACTGAGAGTGAGATCCACATGACTTGTTTTTGCCCCTCAAATAGTGGTCCTTTCTCCCCCGTCATCAAATCCACTGATCCAAATACCATGGTTACATAGGTCAGAGGGACAGTGGATAATGACCAAAGAGAGTGGAACACTGTTTGAGGGGGAAAAAATCAAGTCGTGTGACGATTTAATGCTCAACAAGACCTTGGTGACCATTTGTTTAGAAAACCTATTGTATAAGTTTAATCAAATTTATACATAGATCTACTCTAAGCTTATGTACTTATGGCTTACAAAATTTTTTTTTTTTTTTTTAAAAAAAGACAGTATTAAAACATAATGCAGTATTTCAATTTAGGTATAACAATTTAAATTGACCTAACTATTATATGTGTTACTGTAAAATGTTTAATTTTAGCTGGAATTAATCTTTGCTAAAATGAGATTTTGGGTGTTTTGTATGGGGTTTATTGGTTTTTAATGAGTTGAATGTAAAATATAGGAAAAAAGGTATTTTCAATGAATTTTAGTTTCACCCTTCAGCACAAATAGCGAAAATAAAGTATTATACAGTACTATACACTTGTGCATGTCACAATTTATCTATGTTTTCATATTACCGGTATGTATACTGCCATTATTTTTTTCATCACCAGTTCCCTCTATTTATCACAATTCACAAAATTGTGATGTTTTTAGTCTGCGTTTTAATAAGAGTAGGATAAAACAGCCAAATTTTTCGAGTAAAAACTAAAAATTGATTCAAATTTTGTCTGTTGTCTCCAAAATTACAGTTTAATTTCCAGAAATATTGAAGAATATAAGAAAAAAAGTGAAGAAAATTTGTGTGAGAAAGTCTGGTGGTGAAAAGTTTAAATTCTAATAATAACATCATATTTTCACTGATTTCTTTTCAGTGCTCTGTAACATGTGGCGAGGGTTCCAGGATCCGTGCATCTATATGTATGAAGCCAACAACCACTGGTAGTATGGAGGAAACTGATTCCGTTGAGTGTAATAAGCTAGAACAACCACCTATAATATTACCATGTACTGGACCACCGTGTTATGGTAAAAATACTGTGTACC